TAACTTTTCATGTGCAGAAACAACAGAATACAGTCTCATTAGGCCCTCCAAGCAGCTGTGCTGGTCAAAGAAATACTAATCTCTTTAAAAATCCAGTTATCATTTATTAAGGCTGTTTAGTGATTTGACACTAAGCTACATGCAAGCTTTCAGGTTCTCCAGAAGTCTTTTATCAGGTTGGGCAAAAGGTTCTGGAGAACTTTAGAAAGCTTGCATGTTTATTTTGTGCCATTACAAGTTGCTTGTGTGTTTCTGTTTCTGCTGTCAAGTCACAGCCGACTCACCCAGAGGTTTTTCAAGGCGAGAGAACAGAGGGGGTCTGCCATTGCCTGCCTCTGCACTACCACGCTGGCCTTCTCTGGTGGTGTCGCATCCAAACACTAACCAGGGCTGAGCCTGCTTGGCTTCTGGAGAGCGGACGCAATCAGGCCCGTCTGGGCCACGCAGATCAGCGCACAGTGGGTCTTAGATAAATGCATGACACAGATTTGAATATCACGAAAAGTATCCTGTAGTTTGACCGGTCAATGCTCCCTCTAAGCTGTGGATTCTTGTGAGCCGGAATTCTACTTTTCGAGCTCCTGGCATTGGAGTTGTGAGCAACAATTTGGCTGTTGCATAAATTGGTTTGCTCTGGAGACCTCCTTCCTGAGCTGAGACAAAAATGTGTGAGCTGGAGGCTAAAAAAACTGTGAGCTAGCTCACACCGACTCAGCTTAGAGGGAACACTAGTGGTGGTGACAGAGAGGGGGGCTACATGGCTGTAGGTCTGACACCATCCTTCTGTCTGCTTGCCTCGCCCACAGGTGCCCTTGAGCTGGTCATCCAAGAGAAGAGTTGCGGGGATCCGTCAATGTGCTGGGCCCACGGCACCCGCTCCATTCTAGGGACCAATTTCACCTACTCCACTTATTGCTGTTCCACTGATCTATGCAACAGAGGTGCTGGGGGGCTCGGCGCTTCCTGGGGGCTGCTGACAGTCTCCCTTCTGTCAGTCGTCACGGTCTCTCTCTGCTGAGGCAGCTGCACAGTCCTACTCCGTCTACACATGGCTGCTTCCTCCAAGCTCCCCGTCAGACCCCCTAAACGGCACGTTTGGAGATGACTCTTTTACATGATCTCCCCATTCCCCCTTCCTTGTAATCTTCATTACTTTCCATCTACAAATGCTGCCGTGGAGAAAATAAATTTTAATAAATCTGCCTGTTGTATCAATGGAATTCTTGAAAAAAGGGGGGGATTTGCTATCACAGGGGGGAGGGAATAGGTGTCCGTATTGTTATACCCCCCTTCTCTTCTGCCATCATTTGCCTCTACAGTTTGGGAGGGGGCCGTGGCTCGGTGGAAGAGCACCTGCTGGGCATGCAGTAGGTCCCAGGTTCAATCCCCGGCATCTCCAGTTGTTGTTGTTGTTAATAATAAAATAATAATGATGATGATGATTATGATGATAATAATAATAATAATATGATTTATTAATTGCCCTATCCCAGCTTATGCCAGGCTCTGGGCAATGTACAAAAGAGGCACAATGCCATAAAATAGAATACACATTTTAAAATCCAATAAGATTAATAAGAATAAAACCAGAATAAAATCCCAGATGGCGACTTATAGTTTTGTATTCCGTTTCTGGACTACCTGGCTATAGGGAGGGCATGAAAACTTAACAAAATATGCATACAGGAAAGGGGGGGGGGAAGGAGGGGAAGGGTGCCAGCCAGTATAACCAACCGTTGCTGTCCTCAACCATAAGCCTGGCGGAACATCTCTGCCTTCAGGCCCTGCGGGATTCCACAAGGTCCCGCAGAGCCCTGGTGACATTTGGCAGGGAGTTCCACCCAGTTGTGGCCAGGGCTGAAAAGGCCCTGGCCCTGGTCGAGGACAGCCGGACATCCTTGGGGCCACAGGGATCACCAGTAAGTTGTTACCAGTAGAGTGCAAAGCTCTTCCAGGGACACAGCAGAGATAAGGAAGTAGGTGATGGGACAGACCTCCGCCTGAAACTCTGGAGAGCTGCTGCCAGTCCAAGTAGACGACACTTAGATAGACCAATGGTCGGATTCAGTATAAGACAGCTTCGTGTGTCCACGTGATGTAAAGCACTAGAAGCTCCGTCTTTCACCAGTGGTGAAAGCAACTTTAAATTTCTTACCTTGACTCTTAAGACCGACAAAGGTTTTATTCAGGGTATTGAGCTTTCATGTGCATGCAACACGAAAGCTCATACCTTGAATAAACCTTTGCTCGTCTTAAAGGTGCCCCTGGACTCTACATTTGTTTTTCTGCTTCAGACCAATGCGGCTGACCCCCCTGGAACTATTACCATGACCGGGTCTCTCTCAGAAGGCTCAAAACTGAAAATGGGAGGTATTACTTTGGCCACTTTCTGACTGGTATTCTGTACCGGCT